AAAGAAGATGATGGTAATGGTGATGGTGATGATGATGATGATGTTGATGATGATGATGAGGATGATGATGGCGTTGGTGACGATGCTGATGGTGATGGAGCTGGCGCCGACGTGGCCAACTCACTCGGAGTCCGACTGGCCCTCCCCCGTGAGCCTCATGAGCTCGCGCCCCCTCGCAGCGCGGGCCGGCGCGGACGAGGTGGCTTTGCGGGGGATGTCCTTGGCCTGGTCGAGGTTGCGAATGATGCTCGGCCTCTGGGGCGCCGTGATCTCGGCGGCGTGGCACCGCGTGATCTTCTTGAGCTCGGGCGTCGTCTCCTTGACATGCACGCTGAAGGCCCGAAGCCGCCTGCTCGCCGTGAACGCGGGCTTCATGATGACGAGCTTCTCACGGCCCAGCCCCCTCGAGTTCGCGGCGAACTCGAAGAGGTGCCCATCCTCGTCGGAGCTCTGGACGGGCCTGCACAGCGGGCGGAACGTTCCGACCCGAGCTACCTTGCACGAGTTCCCCTTCTTGAGCTCATCACTGAGCGCGCACCCTAAATTCATGATCACCTGCTTGACGTCCGCCTGCGACCATCCGCTCCTCTGGGCTACGCGCTGCGCCACCGCAGCGTGCGCGAGGAACGTCCCAGACTCGCCGCCGCCGCCTGGGCTACGCGCTGCGCCACCGCAGCGTGCGCGAGGAACGTCCCAGACTCGCCGCCGCCGCCAGTGCCGAAGTCATCCGTCGTCGCCGCCGCCTCAACAAGAGGATCTGTGCTGGACTCAGATGCGCACCCTCGGTCGTCGGCGGCGTCCTCGCCCGAGCCCCTCGCCGCCGCCGCCGCCGCCGGGGTCGGGGCGAAGGCCTCAGGCGTCCGAGGGGCGGCGCCTGGCGTCATCGGGGCGAAGGCCTCAGGCGTCCGAGGGGCGTCGCCGTCGCCTGGCGTCATCGGGATGACGGGCTGATCCATGGGCGGCGCGGGGACACTGCTCATGGATGACAGCGGCTGCTACGTTGGGTGACGGGGCAAGCTTGCACAGAGCTGTTCAAGCCGAAAGCGGGCAACGGATAGACGAGAGCTTCAGGGACCAGGGGAACTTTACTTTGCCATGGCGGTTATGCCCGGACCCTGCTGGCGGCGAAACCCCAGACTTCTTGCTTCTGACAACCAAAACGAACCCATACAAAATCGCCATAACATGCACCAAACGCCTAACGCCGATGAACCTCAGAAAACGCGCGAACAAACGCGCGAAAGAGAAAAAACTACGCGCGTTAGCCCGAACGTGCGCGTGCCCATCGAGGCCGTTCGACACGACCCAGGCGACGCCAGGCGATGTAATGATCTACTGATGGGGCTGAAGGGGGTAAACACACACTGGGCTAACACATGTCCTGAGGAACATCGGTAATAGAACCAGGATGACGCTCGGGATCCCCGAAAGAGGCAAGACACGATGTGTCCCCATAGCAAAGAAGAGCCCAGACTGGCCCTGAAATTCCCTGAAACACCACCCTATATCCAGAGGTTAAACCCAACGGGCCCGACCTGACCCCAACGTTCCCACATAGATTGCACCATGCAGATTGCACCACATATGATGCGCAATAATTGTTTCACCGCCTGAGTTGCACAACGTACATGGTTCAACCTCAAGTGAGCCACACCGCTATACACGTATGTTGCACCACATAGTTGGCACCACATGCATTATACAATACGTATTGCACCGCATAGGTCACATATGTTGCATCACACAGATTGCGCAACATAGATGGCACAACATAGATTGCGCCGTGTAGGCTCCTAGGGACATAATGTTTCAGCCCAGCGCCGTTTGGACCCCCCGTCGCCTCATCGCGGAGTGGAGTGCGGCAGGCTTGGAGGAGGAGGGGGAGGATGCGGAGGAGGAGGGCTCATACGTCGGAAGCCCCAGGACAAAATCCGAAAAGAAACCTGGGGAGGAGCGAAGGGAAGGATGAGGAGGCTGGCGTCGAAGACGACGCCGACGGTGGCGGCGACAAGGACAACTGCGACGATAGCTCTGAGAATGGACACGCACGGGGCATAGGAGGGCGAAGTGATGGACAGGCACGCGCACGCGCAATACCCCGAGCCCCGCCTTGATCTGCTCTGCTTTCCCCGCGTCGGCATCGAACCTGCGGGCGGTCAACTCGGTCAAGTCGGCCATCCCCTGGGACTCGGACGCGCCCATCACCTCGCCCAGGGAGGGGTAGAAGATCCGCTTGCCCGCCTCCGAGAACACGGCCTGGCACACCGTACCTTTGTACACCAGGTTCTGCACCAGCAATGCAACGCCTGCGCTCGCCATCTCTGGCATGGCATCCTTCATGATCTGGCTCGACTGGTCAATCATCGCCGCCCAATCGCCGCCCATCTTGGACAGCTTCCGCTGGAACTTCGCGAATGTGGTGGCGGCGATGTCCGCGAAGCTCTTGCCCTTGGCCTTGCGCTTCTTGGGCCCCTGCTCACTGGCATCAGACTCGGCAGCATCATCATCATCATCATCAGAGCCCGCGTCAGACTCGCTAGGCGAGCGCTCAGCGCGGGACCTCTTGCCACCAGACTTGTCCTTGCCACGGTACGACCTGTCATCGCCGATCGTGGACGCGGGCGGGCTCGGCTGATACCTGGACCTGACATCCGACATACTCCTGGACCTCCCTCTGCAATCCGATCTGCCGCTCGGGTCCTGGTCTGGAACAGGGGGCGTCGGCGGCCGCGATCGCCCGCCGCGGAGGATCGAGTCCGCAGCGGCCGAGCCCATCGTGGTCGCGTGCAAGGACGAGCCCCAGGTGTCCACGTCCTCCAGCTCACCCCCGTAGCGCTGCAGCCGCTCCTCCGTGGGCCTGGCCACGTCCTTGCCCCACATCTCCAAGTTGTTCGCGATCCTACTTTGATCATATGAGAGGACGAAGTCCTCCACCCCGATGAGAACCCTCACGGAGCCGTTGGGCCCCTTCCTGTCCGTTTCCTTCCCGCTGCCCTCGGCGCTGTCCAAGGTCCATCTGCCCAGTGCCTCCAGCAGACATGGGCAGGGCGACAGCGGCATACGTGGACAGTGGGCACGGGGAGGAGGGTGTGAAAATGATGAGGAGGGGGAGGGCCTCTTACGGGCGCAGGTTTCAGCCTCTCCGAATGGCGCACGCACTGGACCGAGCACTCGTTCCCAGAAGGTCCGATCTGAGCGTGCGCCCAGCCCCATTGCCGACGCCTTTCACCCACACATTTTCTTTCCAACCCCGCAGGAGGACGATGAGGAGGAGGAGGATGAGGAGGAGGAGGAGCAAGAGGAGGAGAAGGAGGAGGAGGAGGAAGTCGGCTAGGACTGCGGCGCTTGGACAGTGGGTCCCCAGTGGCCGCGTGCTCACCATTTAACCGTGGCTGAGCGATGACAAGTCGGAAGTCGGGGTTCCGCAGCCGCCGCCACCCCCTCCTCCTCCTCCTCCCTGTCCTCCTCCTCCTCATCTGTCGCCACCTCCTCCTTGGGTGCCGACGGCCCCCTAGGGACCGACGGCCAGCGCGCAGTCCCAGTCGACCCCCTTGGGGGCCCACTGTCCCGCGCGCAGTCCCAGCCGAACCCCTGGGGCAAGCTGAATAGGGGGATGGCGATGCTGGAACAAAGGGGGTGAGGAGGAGGAATGGGGAGGAGGAGGGCCACGTGGATGAGAGCGATGGGGGAGGGCGATGAGGGTGGCATGCGGAGACGGAGGCCCCTCCACCAAAGCAAACAAAGGCAGAATGGAAAAGGCAACGTGCTCCTCATGCTCGGATATCCCATACTCCTCCATGTGGTAGCGCACGTACCTGTGCTGGCGCATGAAGATCCCCTTGGCGCCCCGCCCGGACACCTCCCACAACCCTCTCGTGGACAGTGCGCGAGCCGACGGATGAGGGCTGCGGGGAGGTATAGAGACCTGGGCTGCACTGCGCTGAGGGGCGTCGGGGAGGCGATGCAATGGCTGGGCGGGGAGCGTGCGGATGGCCGCGGGGGGGTCGCAACGACGATGAGAGGGAAATTGATGCGCCCATCGCTTCCGCACCCGCTCTCTATCCTTGGCTCCACAACACCCTCGCCACACAAGCTGCAGGGTGTACTATATATATATATATATATATATAAGCATGCGCTACAAACATTACGTATGCGCATCCACGTTAACCCATGTGTGGAAACCTAAAACTGCGTGCTGGTTCGTGTGTGTATACATGCATATACATACGCATACACGTATGAACACACGGATCGCTTGATGATGCACCTCTGTCTATGTCGGTGCACGTGCGTTGGCATACACCTTCGTATACACACGCGCGTGCACCCCCGCACCACATGCCTATAACACTGCGTTGCTTAGCAAAAAACCACCCGCACCGCGGCGCGCGCCTGCTGGTGTTCGGAGAAATCCTGCTGAAAACCTTCATACGTCGAAACACCCGCGGGAGCGGCCGCGGCCACGCGCCTCCACCCCCAGCCAACGGGACACAGTTTGTGACACTAGAGGCGGTGCTGCGGAGGGGGGGGGATGAGGGGCACGCGAGGGCGGAGGGAGAGGGCATGCGCATATGTGTACCGTTTTCGATGCCATTACTTGTCGCGTCTCCCTCTCTCATCCTCATGGCCCCCTCTCGTTCCCCTCTACTCCCAGCAGTTGTGGTTCTCTCCGACCCTCTCTCACCCCTAACCCTCTCAGAATGAAACCCCTCTCTTCTCTCTCGTCCTCACTCCCTCCCTCTTACAACAACCGAATGTGTCCCCCCTCACTCTCACACTCTCATCCACTACTCTTCTCTCACTCCTCTCTCTCTCTCTCTCTCTATCCCCTCTCTCCGCCCACCCCTCCACTCGTCCGTCCTTCTCTCGATCCGCCATATGCCCGATATGCGTGCTCACATGCGCGGGGCGGACTTGGAGCTGCACGACCCCTGGGCCCTCGGGCTCAATCGGGGTGAGCGGGCAAGGCTGCAGGCCGAAACCCATCCCCGCCCCGCCTGACACGTGGCGAGGTAACTGCTCAAGTAGGCCTGGAGCCGCGCGCCGCCGCCCTTGCGGATGAGGGAGAACTCTGCCTTGGCCTTCGGCCCCTGACGAGCCGCGTCCTCACCTGCTGCTTTGATGTCGGTCACGTGGGAACGGCAAAACTTTTCATTCCTCATCGCCTCACTGTCGCAACCCGCGAAGTCGCAGAATCGCTTCTTCGGCTCGGCCATCGGTTTCGGGTCGGCCTTCTGTCTCCCGCTGTGGCCCCCGCTCGGTCGAGGCGGCGGCGGCGGCGATGCGTCTCGAAGGCCATCGTTCTTGTCGATCGTCGATCCAGGCCGCTCGATGCCCTTCGCGGGCTCTGGGATCGCAGGGGCGTCGGCCCCGTCGTCGTCGACCTCCATCATCATGAAATCGCCGCTGCTGCTGGCCATGGCCACTTTCAGGCTGCAGTTATTGGGGGTGTCCTTATTGGGGCGGTGGGGAGAAGAGCCCTGCAGAGGCCTTAGGACTCCTGTTGGCGCCTTTGGGGCCGCACAGGGCCCCCTCGGGGCCCGTTTCCCCACTCCCCAATAAGGTCACCCCCCATTAACTGCAGCCCGACACTCGCAGGGCCACTCAGGCCCTCCCCCTCGCAGCACAGAAAGGACTCGACACGAGCCGCTGAACCACAACTGGCTGCAACGAAACGGGGCGACAAGCAGGCGGGCCTGGCTCTACGGAGCGCCAGTCAACCAGCCGAATGCGCCAGTCAGTCAATCAGTCAGTGAGTCAGTCAATCAGTCAATCAGTTATTCGGTCAGTCAATCAGTCAACCAACCAGCCACTCAATGGAGCAGTCGCACACGAGTCAGTCAGTCAGTCAGCCAGTCAATCAATCAGCTAATGAGTCAATCAGTCAACCAGTCAGTCATTGGGTCAGCGAACCGCTCCATCGACCATAAGATACGCTGCGCGTTCCTGATCGGTTAGGCCCTGCATCCCGAGGTCTCGCCAACATGGGCGACGAGCGCGGGAGCGAGCGTGGGAAAGGGGATCTGGATATATATAGTAGGGGAGGGAGAAAGATTAATAGATAGAAGATGGTTCCTAGATAGATCATAGATAGATGAATATTATGTAGATAGAGAGGGGAGAGAGAGAAGAGAGAGAGAGAGAGAGAGAAGAGAGAGAGAGAGAGAGAAGAGAGAGAGAAAAAAACAAATACAACTGAAGCTGACTAGACTCAAACGAAAAACAAAATAAAACAAACAAAACAAACAACAACAAACATCATCCTAGACAAAAAACAAAAACAAACAAACAAATAACATAACAAAAAACAAGGAAGAAAACCGAACTCCTGCAGGTCGAAACGAACCCCTGCAGGTCGGACAGCTGGCCGACGGTCGAGGGCGGGTCGGGGCAGGGGCAGGGGCGAGGACGGGTCGAATCGGGGTGCGACGCCCCGCGGTTTTCTGGAAACGCTGGCGCCTCGCCCAGACACCCTGGGAGGTCTCCACTCTCCAATGGGAAAGGCGGGCCCGACTTCAAGCAACGACAGCGGCATGGCCCTCGTCCTCCATGCTCCTGGTCTTTGCCTAGAATCCTCCTCCTCCTCCTCCTCCTCCTCCTCCTCCTCCTCCGCCTCGCTTCCTCCTCTTCCTCCTCCACCTCCTCGCCTTCTCCTCCTCCTCCTCCTCCTCTTCCTCCTCGTCCTCCTCCTCCTCCTATTCCCCGCCACCCCCCTCGTCGGCATTCACCTCCACCTCCTCGCCTCTTCTTCTTTTTCCTCCTCCTCATCCTCCTCCTCCTCCCCCTCCACCCCCTCGTCCTCCTCCCCGTTCTCCTCCCCTTCCGTCCCCTCGCACCTCCAGCTGTGTCTGACACGCGTTGGGCCCGCGGGGCCCCGCCGAAAAAGTAGATATCAAAACCACGGGGGGTTGGGGAACGTGGGGCGCCACGCACGTGCCCAGGACCTCGGACCCAGGACCCGCCCTCCACGAACGAGGCCGCCCAATGCTGCCAACCTGAAATGTGACCCGCCCTTCCCGCGACGACGAGCACCGCCGCGCACGCCCCGCACGCGGGCTTCACGGAGCCAGCGCCAAAGTCCTCGCCGGCGGGGGGTGCAACATGTATTTACGATACAGTGTCATATCGCGCACACCTGTCACTCGATTGACCTACGACACGCTCGCAGCTCACAGTCGTTGGCGGGCGCGCACGCACGTGCACATGCACCAAAATAGCCATGCACGCGCGATGTATACACACAAACGATCAGATGTGTAAATGTGCACACATGTACGCACGCGCGAACAACAATGCCATGCGCACACACACACACACCTATATGTGTGTATATATATACACGCGCACACACACACACACACACACACGCACGCACGCACGCACGCACGCACGCACGCACGCGCGCGCGCACACACACACACACACACACACACACACACACGCGCACACACACACGCGCGCGCGCACGCACGCACTCACACACACGCTCACACGCGGGCGCAGGCTCTAGGACGCAGCGCTTAACGCGATAGACTTCGGACTTAGGGCCTAGGCTCGGGGCCTGGGGCTGAGGGCGAAGGGCTTCGGGCTTGGTTGCGTCACTTACCAATTGCACAGTTTTTAAATCGTCGATACGCGTATATATGTAAATAAATTTGTGTACATGCATGTTCGTGTATATGTGTGTGTGGATGTAAGGATGCATGCATGTATGTATGTACGCCATTAAATATGTATGTATGTATGTATGTATGTATGTATGTATGTATGTATGTCCGTATGTATGTATGTATGTATGTATGCATGTGTTTACTTATGCATGGGTGTATATCTATGTATGACAACGCATATAAGTACATATTAAAATTGAAATACACAAACACAGCAACACCATCGCATTCATAGGGCCAACGAAACCATTGCGGCACGCAGAACCAGCGCGCTTCAAACGGATTCACCGCCGCTAGTGAAATCCTGGAAGCCCCTCAGGAAATTTTGCAATCTCCAGAGGAAAATGTAATCCCCAGAGAAAACTGCAATCTCCAGCTGCCAGCCCCATTTGCAATCTGCAATCCCCAGGGCAAAACCTTCAGAGACAAATGGAAATCTGCGCTTTCCACTAGAAAAACACACGAAATCACAAAATAACGAAGAAATTTCAAGAAAAACACAAAAAACACACAAAAAAAAACTAAAAAAAAAAACATAAAATTCCACACAAAAAAAACAAAAACAAAAAAAAAAAAAAAAAAACAAAAAAACACAAAAAAAGAAAAAAAAAAAAAAAAAAAAAAAGAAAAAAAGAAAAAAGAAAAAAAGAAAAAAAGAAAAAAAAAAAAAAAAAAAAAAAAAAAAAAAAAAAAAAAAAAAAAAAAAAAAAAAAAAAAAAAAAAAAAAAAAAAAAAAAAAAAAAAAAAAAAAAAAAAAAAAAAAAAAAAAAAAAAAACAAAACTCTGAACTCGCTTTCCCAGCAGAGACCCGATCTGCGATCGCGAATTGGCGGCGCGCCGAGGGCGCAACTCGGGGTTCTGCTGGGGTCCTGCTGGGGTCCTGCTGGGGTCCTGCTGGGGTCCTGCTGGGGTCCTGCTGGGGTCCTGCTGGGGTCCTGCTGGGGTCCTGCTGGGGCTGATTTCTGGCTGGCCAACTGCGGTCGGGTCTCCCCGCGGCCGCGCAGCGTCGCCGAAATTGTGAAAACATTGAAAATCATTCGGAAAATAGGGAAATGTAGCAAAATTTCTATATTTTTTCTGAAAAATATAGAAAAACATTGAATTTGCAGAAAAAAATAGAAAATCTATGAAAAAAAAACCTTCAAGAAAATCCATAATTTTTTTTTTTTTTTTTTTTCTATATTATTTTTTTTTCAGAAAAATTATAGAAATTTTGCTACATTTCCATATTTTCCGAACGATTTTCAATGTTTTCACAATTTCGGCGACGCTGCGCGGCCGCGGGGAGACCCGACCGCAGTTGGCCAGCCAGAAATCAGCCCCAGTAGGACCCCAGCAGGACCCCAGCAGGACCCCAGCAGGACCCCAGCAGGACCCCAGCAGGACCCCAGCAGGACCCCAGCAGAACCCCGAGTTGCGCCCTCGGCGCGCCGCCAATTCGCGATCGCAGATCGGGTCTCTGCTGGGAAAGCGAGTTCAGAGTTTTTTTTTTTTTTTTTTTTTTTTTTTTTTTTTTTTTTTTTTTTTTTTTTTTTTTTTTTTTTTTTTTTTTTTTTTTTTTTTTTTTTTTTTTTTTTTTTTCCTTTTTTTCTTTTTTTCTTTTTTTCTTTTTTTCTTTTTTTTTGTTTTTTATTTTTTTGTGTTTTTTTGTTTTTTTTGTTTGTTTGTTTTTTTTGTGAATTTTATGTTTTTTTTTTAGTTTTTTTGTTGATTTTTTTGTGTTTTTCTTGAAATTCTTTGTTTTTTTGTGATTTCGTGTGTTTTTCAGTGGAAGCGCAGATTTCCATTTGATCTCTGAAGGTTGCCCTGGGGATTGCAGATTGCAATGGGGCAGCTGGAGATTGCAGATTTCTCTGGGGATTACATATTCCTCTGGAGATTGCAAATTCCTGAGGGGCTTCCAGATTTCACTACGCGGCGTGAATCCGTGAAGCGCGCCTGGTGCGCAATGAGTTCGTTGGCCCATGAATGCGAAGGTGTTGCGTGTTTGTGTATATACAATTAAATGTACATATATGCGTTGTCATACATAGATATACACCCATGCATAAGTAAACACATGCATACATACATACATACATACATACATACGGACATACATACATACATACATACATACATACATATTTAATGGCGTACATACATACATGCATGCATCCTTAAATCCACACACACATATACACGAACATGCATGTACACAAATTTATTTACATATATACGCGTATCGACGATTTAAAAACTGTGCAATTGGTAAGTGACGCAACCGAGCCCGAAGCCCTTCGCCCTCAGCCCCAGGCCCCGAGCCTAGGCCCTAAGTCCGAAGCCCTATCGCGTTAAGCGCTGCGTCCTAGAGCCTGCGCCCGCGTGTGAGCGTGTGTGTGAGTGCGTGCGTGCGCGCGCGCGTGTGTGTGTGCGCGTGTGTGTGTGTGTGTGTGCGCGCGCGCGTGCGTGCGTGCGTGCGTGCGTGCGTGCGTGCGTGTGTGTGTGTGTGTGTGTGTGCGCGTGTATATATATATATACACACATATAGGTGTGTGTGTGTGTGTGCGCATGGCATTGTTGTTCGCGCGTGCGTACATGTGTACACATTTACACATCTGATCGTTTGTGTGTATCGCGCGTGCATGGCTATTTTGGTGCATGTGCACGTGCGTGCGCGCCCGCCAACGACTGTGAGCTGCGAGCGTGTCGTAGGTCAATCGGGTGACAGGTGTGCGCGATATGACACTGTATCGTAAATACATGTTGCA